CTATCAAAAATATAAAATGTAAAAAAAGATTTTAAATTATTGTTTAAAAAATTGTTGTCATAAGTTCAAAATACATTTTTTTTTAAAACGTATTTGAAATATAAAACATAAATTTAAAATAATATAGAAAATACCAAATACAATATATTTAAAACATATTATTCGATAATAACTATTAGCAATACATTAAAGATGTTTTAAGATAATTTAGTTCCATTGTTACACAAAATGTCATAATAAAATTAATTTTAGATGTAAATTATACAACATATATAAAATGCAATATTTGATTATTAAGTAACTAAAGGTACTACTCATAGTTATGTATAGATGTAAATATTGTGTTAGTACTATATTAATGAAGGTTTGCTGTAGATAATTGAACAATAAAGATACTAAAATGAGTATTTTTATGTTTCAAAAAATCATAAAAAGCAGTTTGAATACGGTACTAATAATAAATAAATTGTAAAAATATATCTAGGTATAACCATTGATTACAAATACTAGTATTTATGACCAATGATATAACTTATATTTTATTACATTTAGTAAATTTTTCGGTAATAAAAAATGTAGTAATGTTGATTAATACTAACTTAAATAAGTATAGAAAGAAAATAGGTGATTAATTGTTGTACGTCAATCCACTTCAAATGTTTGATATGGTACTCTAAAAATGTATGTTCTCACATGACATCAATTATGTTAGGCGCTATAGATTGTATGGAATTGGAGCTAATAATGAGACGATTTGAGTTCGCGTGTAAACTTGATGTATTGTTATATGGGTATTGATAAAAACTAGAATACGTACATAGCTAGTTCTCCATAGTCATAAACACAATGTAAGAAAAACTTTGTTATTAAGTGTTCATTTAATACAATTTCATTATTTTAATTAGTATTTATATAATACAATAAAACGCAAAATACTTAGGTTTAGTATAAATATTTTATGTATTTAAATTCATGATATATAGTTACAAAAAATATAATATTTTATTCTCGTCATGTTGTAATAACGCATAACGTCTAAATGTAATATATTTATTATTTACGACTATAATATAGTAAATGTTTATAACTATCTATGTATTAGTTGATACTATATGTATTTTATCATACTTCAATAAATGAATTCATTCATAATAAATTTAATACAGTATAATTATGCGATAACTTGAAGAATAAAACAATATATTGAATTTAAATCAATAAAAATATTCATAATTATTAGATTAAATATTTTTTTGTGTTAAGAATTTGTAAGTTGTATTTTTAAATTAATAAATAAAATAATAAATTAATGAATTAATGAAATAATATAATTTTAAAATGTAGAAAACTACTACACAGATTTTAAAACTTGTTTGTTCGATTTCATTAAGCTCTCAATTTTAAAGTTCGGGGAGGTAAAACAATAGTAAAAGTTTGAGGGTGCTGGAAAAGTTTTTATTCATCAATTTTTATAAAAAGTAAAATAGTGAAATCATGCAATAAATAATAAGTGATATTATCTCAAAAAAGGTCAGCTAATAAGAATTTATTGATACAGCAATTATTATCATATTATTATTTTGTCAGTTTTATGTGTTAATGTAGTTATTTATTATTTAATTTAAATTTAAAATAAATATTTTAAGTCTAGTTTTTAAAGTGTTATTTACTATTTGATTTTTTTTTTTTTTTAAGACGGCTCTTATAAACAATAAGAGTAACTATTATTTAATTTTATGTAAAACATAATTCTAAACTATTTGCAAGCATATTAAATACCTATTAAACATATTTATTTATATTAGCAAAGTAATTATTATTGATAATAATAATAATAATCTTAGACATTACGTAATATATATTATATATCTAATATTTTAAACGTTTCAGATATTTCAATAGCAGAGTGTCAATTATAAAGACTAATTAGAACTGAGGAGGGTGTAGATAATCAATTTGTATGAATAATCAACTAATAATTAAAAACAACATTTAAAACGAATGTACTGTATGTATAACGTATAATATTGTATATGTGTTATTAAAAGTACGTAATATAATTAATTAAAATTTAAAAATATAATATATAACTATGATATAAAATTAAAATTTATACATTTTTGTGTTAATTTAAAATAATAATCAATTTTTTTTTTTTTTTTTTGGACGTTTAGGAATTAATTAAATTCACATTTTATATTAAAATGAGCTTTGGTAGATAATAAAATAATTTCGCATTTTTTTTATGTAACACGATAAAAAGTACATAATGAATGATAAAATCAAATTAAATTAAATATAAATTTGTTTAACAATTTTGTAGAGTGGATAATTATTGACGGGTCGGATAATTTATTGACGTGTGGATAATCGACCCTCCACTGTAATTATTATACTATAATTAAAGTAACACGGCGTCCTGAGTAGGCAATTCAGCTACATTTAGGTTGTAGTTTAATTTTTTCAGTATCGTATATAATAATAATTAATATTATAGTTGTTAGAAATTAATATAATATGTATTTTGATGGTACGAGTATAAACATAAAATATTATAACAGAAAAAAATAAAATAAAATAAAGCTAGTTGTTGGATTAAAATAAAAATTTAAATCATTTAACATTAAATAGGTAATTAATAAGATTCACAAAGCTTACAATTTAATAAGTTTGCTTTACGTATAAATATTACAATATGTTTATGATTATGTCATTTATTCTTATTTATTAATTTTTTTACTGATGGGAAATTATTTGAAACGTCTGAACATAATTTTATTTCTAAATATCTTTATATTTATTCATGCTGTTTATATAACGCTAACATTGTGTATCAAACTATAGCATCGAGTGCTATTAAAATAAAAAACACATTCGTCTTGACTTTTCATTAAAAAAACAATTTAAAATTTACTTTGGGTTTATAATCACTATACATATTATTTTTGTCCATTATGTCAGAAAGGTCGCTAATTTGATGATATCCAAGAGGGTTGAAAAAAAGAAAAAATTGTCACTAATAAAAATGTACGAGCACTAAAAATAGAACGAGTTGTTAACATTTTTAATTAAGTCATAAATTGAAAAGTAAAAACGTAAAATAAAATAAAATATTAATAAAATATATACATTACGTATATTAAACTATACTAATATTTATAAATACAATGTTTTTGTCAAAAATTAAATCAATCTACCACAATACTTATCATAAAATTAATTACTAGCTATTTCAAAAAAATATCATGATATACTCGTATACTATTGGTGTCTAGACTGATAGACCGTATTTGTTTAGAATTGTTTTTCATATGCAATGATATAATATAATTTAAATTTAACACGTCTATTACAATAATACATTTTACGCCTATTGTACAGCAGAGCGGTATCCACTTGTTCACCTTTTTTGAGCTTGGCTTAATTAAAGACATTTTTCGATAGAAAGTGATTACTATAATGTCGGTGTGGCTAATGGGTGGACATCTAGTCAAAAAATTTGTAATGAGTTTCAATGCTTCATACATACTTATGAAAAATATAATTTCCTTTTAATACAAATTATTTTATTTTTAATTAAAAAATAATTTATTACTTAAAAATAATTTGTTATTCATGAAAAAAGTTAAATAAATATAGATAATATTAATTGAGTAATATATTTTTTTTAAATTTATTGCTGGTGACTCCACAATATCAATGATTTTATCTCCGTTTATATATTAAATGACGCCGTATTAAATAAACGGACAAGTTAAATGGTGCAGAAATTTTCAGCTTATTGAATATCTAAGTTTAGCTTTGAGAACACTCGTTCATACTTAACTTATTATATGTACGAAAGTGTAAGAACGTAGGGCGTGTTTTCGAACGCTGCGCCGCACAATGCGCCGAATAAACCAGACGTCGCGACTAGTTCAAATAATTATTCCAACAGAATCATCTCACTATAGCGACTCGTACGAGTCGTTTAAACATATTAAGTATTTCTATTCGTCAAAACGGGGGCCGTCGAAAAATATCCGCCGGGTAGCCCCCGAGGGTGGCCCCCAGACCGGTCCCAATCATTAGCGAACAGCACGACGGTCAACCGGAACACGATAAAAGGCGTGCGGCCAACGGCGGCATAGACTCGGAAATCGGCCGGCCCGAGCCAAACGGACCTTCCGGTCACACACGTGCGGTACCTATATACCACCCGGACTCGCACGTCGTCGTCGTAGTCGTCGCCGCCGCCGCCGCCGGTGTTCGGTGTACTTCGTTCGGTTACGTATTGCTCAAGAGCCGCCTGCCGCAAGGTGGGCGATTCGTGGCCGTCGGTCAGCAAAGCGCCGCGCGTGGACACCCGGCGCTACACGACGGCTAGCTGTGCCGCCGCCCTGCCGTGCGGCGATGGCAGGCAGCGGCGACGCTGTGCCGCACAATCGATGGGGTCGAAAGGACGGCCCGCCGCACGCCACCGCCAGCGCGTCGCGACGACGACGACGACGACGTCGCCGCCGCCACCGGCACCGCCACCGCGGCCCGCACCACAGGATACGGCACGCAGTGTGTCAGGTCGTAGCGCACGTACGCCGGCGGCCGTATC